ACATTACTGCAGTATGTACACTTTGTTAAACATATGTTATTGTACATTTCATAGACTATATTATAGTGTGAACCTCACTTTTAGATGCACTGGGCATTCAAAAATTAATGCTACTCATCCTACTGCTATACTCTATTCTTAAAATATGGTCTGCAAGCAAATTCACTATACCCCACAGTAGGTCTGAATAGATAATTGTGCTAGTTACTGTGTCCCCTCTATGTTTTAAGCTTTAGGAATGAAGGAACTTGTTTCTTTTATGTTGTACATTCAGTACTTTCACATCAATTAGTGCTAAATAAAATTAATTTAATTAAATGGAGTAAACTGATCCTCTCATATTACTCTGCTGCTAATAATTCTAAACTCCAAAGGAGAGGGAATGATTAAGGATAAATTTCACAATTTAAAAAATTTTGGCTACATTCACACAAATATCAAATATGAGACATTTTATGATTTTTATGAGTAGTTTAATAAAATGTCTATTTCTTGCTTTTTTGTGCTTTTTTGGGGGGAGGTGTTTCACACTCTACAGTGCTCAGGGCTTATTCCTGGCACTTTACCTGGGGATTATTCCTGGCAGTGCTCAGGGGACTTCATGTGGTGCCAAGAATCAAACCTGGGCCAGCCACATGCAATACAACCACCTTACCATCTATAGTTTCTCTCCAGGCCCCGCAATTTTTTCAATTTTCTTGTAAATAAGATGCTTTATTTAAACAATGTGGTTATCAATGTTGTTCATAATACAGTTATTATGGGTTTTTGATGTTTGGATACTAACCTCATTACCAAATGACCTTTTAAATCTTTTTTAGAAGTAGACCTCAAATACTCAAGTATTGCTGGTGGGAATGCAAAATGATGCAGAGACTCTGCAAAATAGTTTGGAATTTAAAAAAATAATATGAAATGGACACATGATTCAAAAATTATACTTGAGTATTTATCCAAGAGAAATGAAAAGCAATCTTTACATAACCTGAGAATGGACCTGAGAGATAGTACAGAGGGATAGGTACTTGCGTTATATGGAGCCAAACCCAACTCAATCCCTGGCATATGGTTGTCCACTCACTGTCAGGAAAGACCTCTTAGAACAGAGTCAGGAATACAGCCTGAGCATCACCTGGTATAGCTCAAACCCACCCCCCAAATAAAGGAACCTGAGCATAAATTTTTGTATCAACTTTGTTCATATCTGTCACTGTCCCTGTTACTGTCCTCCCATTGTTCATCAATTTTGCATGAGCAGGCCCAGTAATGTCTCCATTGTGACAATTGTTACTGTGTTTGGCATATAGAATACGTCACGGGTAGCTTGCCAGGCTTTGCCGTGAGGGCAAGATACTCTCAGTAGCTTGCCGGGCTCTCCGAGAGGGGCAGAGGAATCGAACTCGGGTCGGCCATGTTGGACACTTGCAAGGCAAATGCCCTACCCACTGTGCTATCGCTCCAGCCCGACTTTGTTCATAATACTAATAAATTGAAAAATGGGTCAGGGCTATCATTTAGCAGTAAAACACTTGCCTTGCATGTGTGAACTTCTGGATTAGGTATCCAATATTTCAAAAAAAACTTGAAATCCAGTAAGATATGATTCATTAAGTAGTTCATAAAACAACTGAAGCATCCATGTTATGAAATACTACATAGCAATACATTGAACGAAATAGTAATACACACGACACTGAAAGACTTGAACAATCTCCAGGGTATTATTCAGAGCTTGACTAAGGACACAATGGGTTGGAGCACATGTTCTACATACAGGAGCCCCAAGTTACATGCCCAGAGAGCATGGTTCCTCAAGCACTGCCAAGAGTAAACCCTGAGCACTGGACATAAAGCATCCATTAAGCATTACTGGGTTACTGGGTGTGGACAAAAGAAACAAAAATAAATCTTCTTCAGAGAACTGATTCACATAATTGAGTTGGTGGGGTGAATTCAAAGAAAAGGGCACTGTGGTCCTTGCAGGAGGGAGGTGGGTACACTGGTGATGGGTGTAGTGTTCGAATAATATGCATCAGAAACTATCATTAACAGTCTTGTAAACCACAGAATCTCGATCAATTAAAAAATTCCAAAATACTGGGGCTGGAGTGATAGCACAGTGGGTAGGGCGTTTGCCTTGCACGCAGCCGACCCGGGTTTGATTCCCAGCATCCCATATGGTCCCCTGAGCACTGCCAGGAGTAACTTCAGAGCCAGTAGTAACCCCTGTGCATCGCCAGGTATGATCCAAAAAGCAAAAAGCAAAAAAAAAAAAATTATAAAAAAAATTCCAAAATACCAAAATAAATAGTAATTTAGTTTACCTCAAAGTTATATTCTATGCAATAAGCTTCTCTTCAAGTAGCATTACAAAAATTATAAAAAAAAATAAATGGAGAATATATTTGTGGCTACCAAGAGTTAGAAACTTAGAAGAAATACATGTAGGGTAAGGGTGGAAGAAGGAGATAGATGAGTATGATTCTAAAGGGGTAATTCAAGAGATCCTTGTAGTAATTGATCTATTATACCTACCTATCTACACACACACATGCACACACAAAAGAGCACAGAACACTAAAGAAATAAGGTTGGAGGACTATTATGAAGTCAAATTTCTGGTTCCGATACTGCACTCTAGTTATGTGAGATGCTACCATTAAGAGAAATGTAGTTATCCCTGGATGCCGTTGAACTTTTGAGAGCATCCTCTGGTTAATCTTCAATTATTCTTTTGGAGGTGAGTTTGGAGGCCATGCTCAGTGGTGCTTGGGAGCTACTTCGGGCTTTTTGTTGAGGGGTCACGAAAGGGCAATGCAGTGGCTGGATTCAAACTCAGGCCTCCTACATGTAAAGTTTTGGAGCTATCTCTCTGTCCCTACTTTTTTCCTGAGACTTCCCTCTGGTGTTCAAGAGTGGAGAGACTACTCCCAGCCACACCTGACCGAAAGATATAGTATTCAGTGTTCAGGTCTGGCCACATTGTACTACATAGACATAGCAGTGCCAGTAGGAAGCATGCATTGTTGGGGATTAAATTTGGAGCCTTGCATATGGCATGCATGTGCTCCAACTCTTTAACTCCTCGGCCTTCCATAATTAATTTTGGTTTGGGGGGTCACAGCTGATGGTGCTAAGGGGATGCATTCAGTTCAATTTTCATGAGGGGTCACTCCTGGCATAGTCATGGTACCATGTGGGGATGGAACCTGGGGCTCCTGCATGCAAATCATATGTTCCAGGCCCTTGAAATATCCCCCTAGGCCTTTTGAATTAAGAAATTTTCTAAAAAATAGTCAGTAGGTACCTATCCCCCAGAACACGAAAACATGCATTCAAAAAGACATCTGCATGCCATTATTCATTGCATCACTTAGTAAAATAGCTAAGATATGGAATTAACCAAGATGTCCAATCACAGATAAGTAGATCATGAAGATGTGGTAAATATATATACAATGGATGTGGTAAATATATATATATATACAATTTTTTACACTATAAAAAATGATGAAACCATGCAATTTGCAGCAACATGGATGGAACTGGAAGGTATCATGTTGAATGAAGTAAGCCAGAAGATAAAAGAAACACGGGATAATCTCACTTATATATGGTATTTAGAATAACTGGATGAGGGAATGCAATGTTTAAAAGGGGAGATACGTAGATCACTCTTAACCATGGAGTATAAGGAATAGAAGGACAAAGAAGGAAAAAAATCGAGGTGGGGGAAGAGAAGAGATAGATGGAAAGCAATGGGGAATAGGGGTCAAGGCAATCTGTGTGCATGGGTGATTTAGAGGATTGATAAAAGCAAAATATTCAAACCAACACAGAGTCCACAACACTGAAAACAAGAGATCCAAACATCAAAAGCCAAACATAAAAATGTACCTGTCATTGGTGAAGGGAAATTTACTGGTGATGGAAAACTGTATGTCAAGAACCCAACTATGAATAACTTTGTGATTCACGGTGCTTTAATAAAATAGGTCATGGTCACGGTCACGGTCCTCCCATTGTTCATCGATTTTCTCGAGCGGGCCCTGTAACGTCTCCATCGTGAGACTTGTTGTTATTGTATTTGGCATATTGAATATGTCACGGGTAGCTCGCCAGGCTTTGCCGTGCGGGCGAGATACTCTTGGTAGCTTGCCGGGCTCTCCAAAAATAAAATTTTGGAAAAAAATTTCAAACAAAAAATACACCAGAAAAATGTATCTGTCAAGGAAGCATGCTGTGGATGGTGGTGGGGTAGGAAGGAACCTGGGAACCCTAACTGAGGGAATATTCCCTGGCGGTGAGATTGGTGCCAGAACATAGTATGTCTAAAACTCAAATATGAACACTGTAAATCATAGCTCTTTACTAAAATACTTTTAAAGTAGTGCAGTCAGCAGATAAGGTTCTTGACCAATTTCTATTCCCAGCACTAAATCCCCAGCATCACTGGGTGTGGTCTTGGAGGACCCCAATACAACCAGGGTGGTTCCAATATCCCCAAACTGCAGGGCCCAAGTAGGATAGCATCCTCAGGCCCTTGCACTAAATCTGTGGCCCAAGTGGTCAGTAATAATCATCAGTGGAGTCCCCTGACCTCCTAAACATCACATGGCAGCCACTTTACCCAATAAAAACAGATAATAAAATAAAAAGTAGGAGCTGGAGAGAAGGTACAGCAGATAGGGAACTTATCTTGCATATGGCAGACCTGGGTTACATCACAGATACCTCACTGGGTCCTCCAGATTTTTCTAAGAGTTATTTCTGAGCATAGAGCCAGGAGGAAGCCATGAGAACAGCCAGGTAGAGCCAAAAAGAAAAATCAGTCACAAAAACAGGTGTATTTGCTACTGAAGCAAACTGCACATCTTTGGGGTTCACAGAAATGAAGAAACCATTTCTGGTTCTGTTTTTCTTTAAACTGTGTTTGACACAAAGGGTACCAACTCAATCACAATCAGTCCTTTTCCTAGAAGGCTCTTTGTGATACTTACCAATAGAAGAGAGTATAGTTCGTATCAGAACTTGTGTTCCTTCCTGGAAGCCAGGTACATTTCATGTAGTTCAGATTGTGCCAAATGCACTGAATTTCAGTCACAGCCGACTCAGGATCACCTGGAATAACCAGTGTAAAGTTCAGGATTCCTTTTACCTTGCAAGGCAAGGAAACCCATCAATCTAGGATCTAGAATGTTCCACCTGCTTTTCTTTCCTCTCTCACCCTCCTTCACCCAGAAGGCACTTCACATGGAGAAAGTTTGAATGTCATTTGTTTCCAACCATCCCTCCTCTTAAAACTAAGAAAACAGATATACTCTCACCTAGAGATTACAAACTCTCATCTTCCAAACTGGAAAGAGGGGTAAAAGGTCAAATAATATTCCATCAGAGGCAATGATTACAGAATTCATTTTTGATCTTTGAGGGGAGTTGTTTTGTTGTTGTTGTTGGTGTTGATGTTGTTGTTATTTGGGCAACACCCAATGCTCAGGACTCACTACTGGCTCTAACTCCGGTGGTTCTCAGAGCTTATTTCTGGCTCTGTGCTTAGGAATCACTCCTATTGGTGCTCAGGAGACCATATGGGGTGCTAGGGATCAAAGCCGGGTTGGCCATGTGCAAGGAACAAACCCTACTCACTGTATTATTTCTCTGACCCCACCGTTTGTAGTTTTTGGGAGGTGCTCAGGTATTATCTGTTGCTCAGGATTGACCTTTGGCAATGCTCCGAGTACTCATATGCAGTACCAGGATCAAACCACTATAAGCAACATGTAAGACAAGAATCTTAACCCCAGTGCTACCACTCTAGTCCAAAAATCTTAAATGGATGTAAAAATACTGACAATCCCTGTATGTAACTGTATTTTAGAAAAACATGGGCTAGAGCGATAGCACAGCGGGTAAGGCATTTGCCTTGCATGCGGCCAACATGGCTGACCTGAGTTCGATTCCTCCGCCCCTCTCAGAGATCCCGGCAAGCTACCAAGAGTATCTCGCCCACACAGCAAAGCCTGGCAAGCTACCTGTGACGTATTCGATATGCCAAACACAGTAATAAGTGTCACAATGGAGACGTTATTGGGCCTGCTCGAGCAAATTGATGAACAACAAGAGGACAGTGACAGTGACAGTAGAAAAATATGTTAGGGGTCTAAGAGATAGATAAGGAGCTAAGGTACGTGTCTCTCATGCAAGTGACCCAGGTTTTGACTTCTGGTACTTGCAGTAGTGATCCTTATGCACAAAGCCAGGAGTAATCCCGTAGTACTGTTGGGTGTAGACTGCCTTCCCTCCCAGTATAAGATTACTAAATTATAATTTACCTCCACATTCCTGCTTTTTGATCAATCAATACTGACAAGCATTTCCTAAATTAAGCCAACATCCATCCCTGGGAAGTTAAGTGTGCCTTCACTCTCAGGAGTTGTCTAGTATGTGTTGTGACCCAATGTCTTCCTTTTGTGGAGGACAGTACAACTGGTGGTGCCCAGGGATTATTCATGGCTCTGTGCTCAGGAAACACTCCTGGCAGTGCTCAGGGGACCATATGTGGGCTAAGGTGCTGGGAATCAAACTTGGGTTGGCAGCATGCGAAACAAACACCCTACCCGTTGTACTACATCTCTGGACCTTTGAGTTAAGTAAATTTTTTCTAAATGATTTGCCTCTGTTTAAAATGCAAGCCTTTTGAATAAACCTCAAGGGAGGTGTGGGGAGCGGAGGGTAGGTAAGACAGAGAAGGGAGAGAAGGGACCAGTATGATGATGATAGCTGGAAATGATCATATTGGACAAGAACTGAGTGTTAAATGTAGGTAAAAGTATATATGTGATCACGGGTATCACGGGTATCACGGACCTCCCATTGTTCATCGATTTGCTCGAGTGGGCTCAGTAACATCTCGTGAGACTTGTTACTGTGTTTGGCATATTGAATATGTCACGGGTACCTTGCCAGGCTTTGCTGTGTGGGCGAGATACTCTTGGTAGCTTGCCAGGCTTTCCGTATATGTGATAACCCTTCAGTATATGTATTTCAAACCACAATGAGGAGGAGGGGGAGGAGGAGAAGAAAGAAAGAAAGAAAGAAAGAAAGAAAGAAAGAAAGAAAGAAAGAAAGAAAGAAAAGCACTTGCCATAGAGGCAGGCTGGGGGTGGAGGGTTGATGGGAGAGAAACTGGGGACACTGGTGCTGGAAAATGTATACTGGTGGAGGGATGGGTGTTGAAACACTGTATGACTGAAATCTAATCATTAACAGCTTTGTAAGGGTCTATCTCACAGTGATTCAATAAAAGTTTTTTTAAGTGACTAGTTAGCACTGAAATTTCAAACTGGAAACAGAAAAACATAAAAGAAAATGCAAACCTATAATCCCTTGGCAGTATCAAAGGGGTGGGACTGAGCCCTTATGAATCATTTATTGACATAATTCAATTTGGGGTTTTTCCACATTAATAATTAACCCCCTGAAGACATGAGAAGAGGGGAGACAGGATTTTTGTTTTGTTTTTTATTCTGATTTGGGCCATACCTGGCTGTGTTCAGGGTTTACTCATGGATCTGCACTAGGGAACACTGCTGGTGGGGCTTAAGGGACCTTATGTGGTATGGGAATTAACCCCCAAGTCAGCTGTATGCAAAGCAAGCACCTCCTTTGTTGTACAACTTCCCCAACTGTACAAATATGACTTTTAGCAATTTGTTCAGTGCAAGGGAGAACAGTCTAGATAACCAATCATATAGTACTATGATTTAGTGGTAGGAGATGAACAGCAGAATTCTAACAAAGAATACATTTCCTACATTTCCTCTTGGCCAGACATCATTCTAAGTACCTTTCATACACCAACTGAAATAAGCATTCAGCACTCCAAGAAAGAAAATTACCAGTCTGAAGCAATAGTACAAGAAGGGTGATTGCCTTGCATGAGGTTTACCTGGGTTCTATCCATGGCACTCCATATTCTCCCTCAAGCCCCAGTAGGGGTGATCCCTTAGTACAAAGCCAGGAGTAAGTCTGAGTACTGCCAGGTATGGCCACTCCTCAAAAAAAGAAAATTATTATCATCCCTATATGGAAGGAAGGTTCATTATGTGTGTTGGGGAGGGGTAATACCAAGCAGTGTTAGATAATTACTTCTGGCTCTGAGCTCAGGGACTAAGCAATGCTCAGGGAATCACATGGTATCAGAGAATGAACCTGGGCCTTCTACAAGCAAAGTATGTGCTAAATCCATTGATCTATCTTTCTTGTCCTTAGTGACTTAGTGATGGGGAGTTCTGCCATACCCTGTGTTGGTTGAGGGATACTCCGATATACATATTCAGTAGTAGTCTAGTGTTTGGGGGACCTTAAACAGTGTTGAGAATGGAACTGTGACTGGCCGTATGTAAGGCAAGTGCCTTAATCCCTGACCCTCAACCTCATTTTAAAGATGAGAAAACTGAACAGGAAAGAGTCTATGGTCACACAGCTTGCAATGCTGAGGTCAAAAATTTGATATCTGGGTTCCAGTAGCCTTGCTCTTTTTCAACACATGCTCCTCCCTAACTATAACATTAGAGCCAGAAGAACACTTGACAAAAAAAGAAGTACACTGAGGAATGAGTAGGGAAGGATTGGGTACCAAAGAAAAATTGGCCCAAGGGAAGTTTTTTCTTGAGCTAGTCTTGAATTGGAGCTAGGCCAGCAGGTCCACATTCCTTCTTAGCATCTTTACTTAAATAGATCTTATATCTCAAACTAATCTCTCTAGTGGAGTAAGATAAAATTTTAGCATTTTAAACAAATATTTTTAATTTTTATAATAGTTTATCTAATAAGATTAAAACATTGCTTAAGTTTATAATAATGATGTACAAAGTTACTGCAACTTTCAATCACCTAAGTGCCTATCACCTCCCAACCCTGTCCCCGTCACCTCTGGTCTGACATTCCTGCCCTGACACTCATCTCCCTAGTATTTGTTGATTGACAGTTATGGTCCAGTGCATACTATTACCTCCCTTAGCAACCTCCTATGTGATCCAGATGCTCCACCTATGTTCCTTTCTGTATTATTTCAAGTCAGCCTACTCGCTCTACTCCAATCTAGCACTCTCAGATCTGTAATTCAGTGTCCAAGATATTTTAGCACCATTTTTGCTTTGGGGGGTGACACCTAGAAGTACTCAGGGCTTACTCCCGCATCTTCAGTCAGGAATCTCTCCTGGCAGGGTTTAAGAGACACTATGTGGTGCCAAGAATCAAACTTAAGTGGGCTATGCACAAGGTAAGTACCCTACATATTTTGCTATCACTATGTACCCTACTTTAACATTTCCAAGACATTGGACCTAAACTCTGAAGACTTATTCAGCTCATTCAGTTCCCCTCTTGCCCATCAAATGAATCAGGATGATAATACAAGGCTTCTTGACAGCACAGGACAGCAAAGTTTGTGAGGCTTAACCTGGGGGAGGAGTACGTGCACATATCATTTTCCAAATTATTAGGTGCTGTATAGCTACATGTCACTTCATGACATCTGAGTAGAAAATATGCCTTGTGATCAATGGCAGACCCAATGAGCTACATCATATAGCCTGAGTTTGTAGCAGTAAGATCATCTAGGTTGCTGTCATTTCACTCTGTGAGGTCCACACCTCACACTTTAACTGTACTTTTGAGTCATTATTTGGTTTTTGGTTTTTGTTTATATGTTGGGGGTGGAAGATTTTTAATTTTTTATGTTTGTGTAATACCCAGCAGTATTCAAGGCTTAACCCTGGCTCTTCTCAGGTATCACTACTGGTAGTACTCAGCAGATCCGACAGTATGCCAGAGAACAAATTTAGGTGGGCCACATGCAAGGCAAGTGCATTACTCCTGCTGTACTGTATCTCCAGCCCCGCGAGAACTTAAGTGTAAAATGATGCATTTCTCAGCAACATCTGCCATTACTATGTGACAAATGACCCTGTGACTACTAGCATTTATTGAAGGTGTATGGGTACCCCTTAGGTGCTTGCCACATGTCAGCATGTGGCAGAACCTTCTTCAAGTGTCTGGAACCTATTCAACTCAAGGCATGTTTGAGAATTGAATGCCCACTTATCATAAAAGCACACAAACAATTAAGGCATAGATTACATATACCAAGAGACATAAATTTCAGGAGTAACTTACCTATAGGGGGTAAGGTGCACTTTTCCACTAAAATGCTCGGGTTTTCGCTTTCATTGCTATCACACTGTGACCCCACCTGCAGACATATTTTCTCATTCAGGGGCACTTCCATAGAACGATGAGTTTCGGGAGCAATTTTCTAAAGTTAGAAATGGGAAAAGGCAAGGCTATAGCAAACACACAGATACACATTTAAGTAATAAGTCACGAGGAGACCTAAATGTGTAAAAAATAAAGGCAAGTTATCTGCTGATGCAGACTGGTAATTCTCACCTTGAGATGATCCCGCTGTACCACCTCCAGGCACACTGGGTAATTTCAATTGTCATAGTGTGAGAGGGGCTGCTAATGGAATTGAACTGGTAGAGGCCATGAATACTGCTGCTAAATGTCGAGTGACGCATTAGACAGGCTTCCCTTCCTACCACAAGGAATTGTACACCAGATTTCAGTGTGTCACTGGTGAGGCACCCTAGTACAGGTAAAAGACCATTCCTGTACTTGAAGTATATAAGGAAGATGGCTAAAATGGTGGGAGTGTCTGGTTTGTATGCAAGAGCCCTAATTCCATTCTAGTACTACATGGTCCCCAAACATTGTACAGGGAGTATCCCCTGGCACCACACTGAGAGTAAGCCCAAAGCACTGAGATTGTGTCCCCTGGAGAAAAAATTTGTGGCATTTTCTGTTTTTTTAATTTTTTAAAATTTTTATTAGTGAAACACCATGAGGTACAGCTGTGGACTTACAAGTTTTTGTGCTTGGGTTTCAGTTACACAATGATTGAGTACCCATCCCTCCACCAGTGCCCAATCTCCACCATCACTGATCCCAGTATCCCTCCCACCCCCATCCCCCCTATCCCACCCTGCCTCTGTGGCAGCGCATTCCCTTTTGTTCTCTCTCTCCTTTTGGGTGCTGTGGTTTGCAAAAGAGGAATTGAGTGGCAATCATGTTCAATCTATAGTCTACTTTCAGCATGCTCATCATTAATCATCAGGGAGATACAGATCAAAACAACAATGAGATATCATGGCATTTTCTTAAAAACCTATTGTGCTAGCACATCAACTTTCAAAAGGCTCTCTTGTATGATGATACAATACATACTCAATACACACCGAACAGGGCTCAGAGTTACTCCTGGCACAGTGCTTGGGCCATTTCCTCAGCCTTCGAAAAGCTATTTGGGGAAAGTTGGCGGGGAGGTTGAGGCTATAAGCAGTGTTCAGGGATTACTCCTGGCTCTTCGTTCAGGGTTCACTCCTGGTGGCACTTGGGGGAACCACATATTATAACAGGGATGGACCCAAGATTGGCCACATTTAAAACGAGTTCCTTACCCAATACCATCATTCCAGTTCCTTGAATAGCAACTTTGAGCAAAACAATATTATGAAAATTAAGTTCCAAGTAGATATTCTCAAGATCAAAGTAAAAAGGATTGTATTAAAATGCTGTCACCCTGATCCCTCCAAGAAAATGAAGAAGACGGGTAGAGTGGAGGGTTATACAAACTTGTCATTAAACACTTCTCTATACCATTTAACCATTTGGACCATTTCGAATACACTTATATTTAAAGGGTTTGTAGATATACTGAGCATATCATATTCTGCTTCTGAAAACCAGAAAAGCCTTCTAGAACCATAGGAAAAAATATATATATATAAAGAAGAGCAAAAGGGGTTTTTGGTAAATTTAGGAAATGAACATTTCCTGAGGTGACAAGAGTTGGATTAAGATCAGTGGTGCTTTTAATCAGAGCTCCAAGAAGTTTCCTGTTTTGTAATAAATAGTTCCTGCCTCAAGTTGAACAGAGCATTTCCTTTTAAATACGTGTCAATGGTCACAAAGGAAATATTTGTAATGGTCCCCTCTGTCTTCTATGCTAAGAGACTATTTGATCATTTCACATGTCTACTGCCAGCTTAACATAAGGGGCAACTGGGAGATATAGCCCAAACCAGAACAGAAGATTGCCCATTAAGGGGTAGCTAACCAAGCAGCAATTAATGAGCCATAGCAAGACACCAGAGAAAAACATCTCTTTCCAAGAGAATAGGACCAGGCAAGACAGCATTCTGAAAAGAAAAAGTCATTCCTGGAAGCAAATTAGAAGTAATAGGAGCAAAATTCTAGAGGGATGATTTCACTTCCCAGACAATGAACATAAGCTGGGCTGACCTTCAGAAAGGCTGCAGGCCTGTTTCAATCCAGCAGTTCCCTGAGCTATCCCTGACTCCTTGCCAAGCAACCCCCACAGTCTTGGGCTTTCCAAACAGTTACCACTTATACAACGTATCAGTTTTGCTGACAGTGGACTTTCTAGAATGTTCCAATGTTAAGAGTTCCCATGGGAAAGGAACTGAGGAATTAGCCCCACATCTTGAGTACTGACCTGTCTACCAGCCTAATCCTTGAATGTGGTTGACAAATAAATGAAATGGAACTTAATAGGGGAAAAGAGGTGATGTGTTCTCAGGGTTTCAATGAGACAAATTTTGGGTTGCTTAACAAAAAAGATATGTGCTAAGAAATTCATAGCTATGTCAACACCATAGTGTAATCGCACAAACCCCAAAGGCTTGCTACATACTTAGATTATATGGCATCACCTGTTGAGACCACCTGTATGTAGATCTTGACAGAAACTTCTAGAAGGAACTGTGACTATGCAGACTAGTACCATTTAATCAAACTACTTCCTGGAATTTCAAGGCAGAGTGAATTCAGAAAAGCAACCACTAAGATTCCAAATGCCTAAGGCCCCTCCTTAGGAAGAGAGGAAGCCAGCCATGTGAAAAGAGGAACTGGCTTCATGGCTAGAGGTATAGAAAGTTTCTGCATTTAGAATCCTCTGTTCTAAGCCTCAGCTCCTTAACAAGTAACACCTAAACAATAAGATACCTCTGTAAGGAGACTGGCACACATTCAAAAGAACAAAAGCAACCAGTGCTGGCGTGGATGTGGGGGAAAAGGGACACTCTTTCACTGTTGGTGGGAATGCCCACTAGTCCAACCTTTCTGGAAAACAATATGGAAAGTCCTTCAAAAACTAGAAATTGAGCTTCCATATGATCCTGCAATACCACTTCTGGGAATATATCCCGAGGATGCAAAAAAGCACAGTAGAAATGACATCTGTACCTGTATGTTCATTGTAGCACTGATCACAATAGCCAAAATCTGGAAACAACCCATGTGCCCTAGAACAGATGACTGGTAAAGAAATTTTGGTACATTTACACAATGGAATACTATGCAGCTGTCAGGAGAGTTGAAGTCATGAAGTTTGCCTATAAATGGATAGACATGGAAAGGATCATGCTAAGTGAAATGGGTCAGAAAAAGAGGGACAAACATAGAAGGACTGCACTCATTTGTGGAGTACAAAACAACATAACATGAGGCTGACACCTAAGGATAATAGATACATGGGACAGGTAGACTGATGCATAGTTGGAAGCCTGCCTCATGAGCAAAGGGGAGAAGGTAGCTGGAATAGATAAGGGGTCACTAAGAAAATGATGGCTGTAGGAATCGGTGGGGCTGGGAGATGTGTGCAGAAAGTAGATAAAGGACCAAACATGATAACCTCTCACTGTCTGTATTGCAAACCATAATGGCCAAAAGTAGAGAGAGATTATGGGGAATAATGTCTGCCATGGAGGCAGGGGGAAGGTGGGAAAGGAGGGCAGATATACCGGGGATCTTGGTGGTGGGGAATGTGCACTGGTGGAGGGATGGGTGTTTTGTCATTGTGTGACTGTAACCCAAACATTAAAGCTTGTAACTATCAAAAAAAGAATGGCAAAAATAATTATCAGAAAATAAATTCATAAATTCCACTTTTGGTGAAAAAAATAAATATTTCTGTAAGAAAGTAGCAAAGTAGGTAAATTAGAAATCTTCCTTCTGCAGGAAAGAAACCAGGCTGCCAAGAGCCAGTGATGTAACTCAGTAGCCCCCAAACATTAACAAAATAAATAACATAAAAAGAGTGACTTATCAACTATAATCCAATTCCTGAGACTCTCCTTGGCACCAAAGTAGCTTCAACATAGTGGTTTTACAATTCACAGTATCATCACTAATAACTACTTCTCATTCTGTCTCCTAAATTCCTACATAAAGTGAATCACAAACATTGTGCCATCCCATATACACACTTACATATAAATATATATTATATAAAGATATAAACACTAGATATTTATATATCTAGTATAGTATATTTAGTATATGTATCTATATCATATATAGATATATACTAAATATTTATATATAAAGATATAAATTAAAGTTTGTCGGAGGTTTTGAAGAACATGCCAATTAGGAGGAGTCCCAAACCAAGAAAACCCAAGAGAAAATACTTTTGAGTAGTATTATTATAAATAAACCCAAAATTACCCAATTCTGTTAGCAAAATTTTGCTTCCATCAATTGACTGCATCTGAATGGAGAGGTTAAGAAATCCCCTTATTGAGTGCCCTGCCACAATGGTAGGGTGGGATGGGGGGAAGGGGAATGGGAGGGATACTGGGACTGGTGGTGGTGGAGAATGGGCACTAGTGGAGGGATGGGTATTCGATCATTGTATAACTGAAACCCAAGCACAAAAATTTGTAAGTCTACAACTGTACCTCATGGTGTTTCACTAATAAAAATTTAAGGAAAAAAATAAAATAAATAAAATAAAATAGATATCCTAACTAAAACAAAAAAAAGAAATCCCCTTATTTTTCCCAGGCATCAGAAAGCTTTCTAGTCAACCCCACCTGTCATGTGCCACCAGCAATTTTTTCTTCATTTTCCATCTAGCCACTTACTTTGCCATCACATGGCTTTTGCATTGTAAGCAACGTGGTAAATGAAAATTCCCTGAGAAACTGAAAGCATCATAGAGGTACAAGATGATAAGCAAGAACACAGGAATTAATTTTAATAATAATTAAAATTGGTTCAGTTATTGCCCATCAATCTCAATTGCATTTGTGTCTCAATAAATCAGCAAATTTTTACAAAAATTCCATTTTTCCTACTGTACCTTCACAATTGTCCCAACTCAATGGTGGCACAACCCATACCAGTCCCACTTTAAAGTAAGATTAGAGTTTAAGTTTTTCTTGTTTCTAATTCCTGGTAGTAACCTGACCCCACCAAACCAGTATCTTCCAGAAACTTACCTTATCCTGTTTGTTGCTAAAATGAGTAATATATCGCAGACTACAATTCGGGCTGGCTCCCTCAGGAGGATTCCATGTCCAAATGACTGTGCAGAGATTTTCCACAGAAACACTCAAATTTGTCACAGGTGGTTGAGTTTCTGTTCCAATCAAGCAAAGAAATAAATTTACCAGTATCATACATTGTTTCATAGCTTATTTCATGTGCCAATAATATCCTGCATTGATTTATCAATGAGGTCTGGGGATGCTGAGTCACTTACTCCACAGCCCGTAGCTGGGAAAACACAGAGCTGGCTACAAACCCAGAAATAGTGGCTCCACAATCACATTCTTTTCTTTGGGGTATTGTTTCTGGCTTGATGAAACCATGCAATGCTAGGGATGGAACCCAAACTCCAACATACAAAACATGCCCTCCAGTGTTTTGAACTCTTATTCCCAAACTCCACAGCCACACTCTTAACTCCTTCCTCCACTAGGAACCTAGAGAGGGTGGAACCTTCAATACCTATATTTTCTTCATGAAGAAATCTGGGGTTCTTACACTTGTAATACGTCTCTCCCTCAATACAATGAACACTTCTGTCTGAGCAGTTCTCTGAGTGAGTTGTATCAGATCATCTTTAATTGGGCTTGGTAATAAGACCAAGCCATTGTTTTTACAACTTTTCCATAGAAGTACTGAGACAGATTCGACAGCCCTGAGGTTCCCCTGAGGTCTTACACTAAACAGCTGGAACTGTAGCTCTGACTAATCAGAAGGGAAAGAAAAAATGAGAAACCAGTGAACCAGTGTCTTAAAAATGTGTTTCATATGAAGAAACCCCATCACTCTCTGCCAAATATGTACTGACTATTATTTTGGACCCACTTCTAAGATCAGGGAAAGAAGTCGTAGTATTTCTGCCAAATAGAAATACAAAAATGAGTGCAGGGAGAAAACTTCATTTCAAATTCTGCTGAGAACTACTGAAGGCAGAGCTGCCAAAACCATCCCCCAGAAACATGGTAAGGGCTACATAAGAATCATCTACTCTAGATCAATCATCATCAGGGAGATGCAGATCAAAACAACAATGAGATATCATCTCACAGCACAGAGACTGGCCCACATCCAAAAGAACAAAAGCAACTGGTGTTGGCATGGATGTGGTGAGAAAGGTACTCTCCTTCACTGCTGGTGGGAATGGCGACTGGTTCAGCCCTTTTGGAAAACAGTAAGGACGATTCTCAAAAAACTAGAAATTGAGCTCCCATTTGACCCAGCAATACCACTCCTGGGAATATATCCCGGCGAGGCAAAAAAATACAGTCAAAATGACATCCGCACTTCTATGTTCATTGATGCACTGTTCACAATAGCCAGAATCTGGAAAAAACTCGAGTGCCCGAGAACTGATGACTGGTTAAAGAAACTTTGATACATCTACAAAATGGAGTACTATGCAGCTGTTAGAAAAGATGAAGTCATGAAATTTACATACAAGTGGTAGTACATGGAAAGTATCATGCTAAGCGAAATGAGTCAGAAAGATTGGGACAGACATAGAAAGATTGCATTCATAAAGTAACAAATTGGGAGACTAACAACCAAGAATAGCCGAGATAAGTACCAGGAGGTTCACTCTATGGCTTAGAGGCCAGCCGCACATGCTAAGGGAGAAGGCAGCTCATATAGAGAGGGGTGCACCAAGTAAAGGGGGTTGGGAGGACCCTCCCAGGATGAGAGATGCATACTGAAAATAGGCTATAGACTGAACATGATTGCCACTCAATGTCTCTTTTGCAAACCACAGCACCCAAAAGGAGAGAGAGAACAAAAGGGAATGCCCTGCCACAGGGGTGGGGTGGGATGGGGGGGTGGGTGGGAGGGATGCTGGGAGCATTGGAGGTGGGGAATGGGCACCGGTGGAGGGATGGGTACTCAATCATTGTATAACTGAAACCCAAGCACAAAAATTTGTAAGTCTACAACTGCACCTCATAGTGTTTCACTAATAAAAATTTTAAAAAAGAAAAAAAGAAAAAAAGAATCATCTAGCCCCTAGCTTCTTAAACTGTGGGTTATGACCCCATATAAGTTGTGTAACTGATTGTGGGGCTCCAGAAACAAGTGGCCACTGTAAAACGTTTCTGAAAGGTGAAAAAAAAATTAATCCAAAATTAACCGCATAATAGATATGAATTGTTTCTGGCAGCGTCTATCCATTTTAATTTTACCCAAGAAATTAGTTTTTATTTCTTGGGCAAAAAAGATGGTGAAATTGGAAAAGGTTTAAGAAACCCTAGTATAGCCTATCCTTGCAACTTTTCTATGCATTAGCATCTTTTTCATTTGACTTAGTGGTGGAGCTCATGCCTTGCATGTGAGGTTCTGGGTTCAACCCTCAGTATTGCATTAAAAATTTGAGAATGTGGATATTGCTCAGGGTCGGGAAAACATGGCTTATACACACAAGAACCTGAGTTCAACCCGTGGAATGACATGAACCCCCAAGAATTACCAGTTGAATTCCCTAAAGACCCCCAAGTACCATCAGGTGTGGCAGTGCATGAGCAGTACCACATCACTGGGCCTGAGCATTGATGAGTCAAGTTAGCTGAGGATAACTGGGAGTAGACCTCGAGTCCCTTGAGCACTTACATGGGAAGCCCCTCAAAAATAGATATTAAATATTATACATGTACATGTATATATGTATACACTGTCACTGTACACTGTCCTCCCATTGTTCATCGATTTGCTCGAGCGGGCCCAGTAAAGTCTCCATTGTGAGACTTCTTGTTACTGTGTTTGGCATATTGAATACTCTCGGTAGCTTGCCAGGCTCTCCAAGAGGGGCAGAGGAATCGAACCTGGCTCGGCCAGGCTGGCTGTGCGCAAGGCGAATGCCCTACCGTATACACTTCAAAATAATACTAAGAGGGCTGGAGCATATTCTTTGCATTCTGGAATAACATGTTTGATCCCCTCAGCCATGGTCTCCAAACACTGCCAGGGGTGATCCCAGATTACTGAGCTGGGAGTATCCCCTAAAATTTAATGGGTGTGGCTCCCAAACAAATAAGAAAACCTTATTAAGAGAATTTTAAAAACCAAGTCTGTCCAATTTTATTAAGTGATTTATTAACTTAATTATTATTCATTACTTCAAAAACCACTGTTACATTGAGTTTTATTTTATATTCTCTACCAACAATTTGGAATGTACCAGATCTTTTACATAATTTGCAATATATATATGAAATCATCCTTTTCATAATTTTATTTTACTTTTTAAAATTTTGCTTATTTTTGTCGAATCACTGTGAGATCTACAGTTACAAAGCTGTTCATGGTTAGGTTTCAGTCATACAATGTTCCAACACGTACCCCTCCACCAGTGTATATTTCCCACCACCAATGTCCCCAGTTTCCTTCCCGCCACCCCTACCCACCAGTCCTTTATAACTGAGCCCCCAAATTCCACTTGGCTGGAGTGATAGCTGCACAGGATGAGTGCTCGTTTTGGAAATGGAAGCTTCTGGTTTGATTCCCTGGTTCAATCCCTGACACCACAGGACCCTCTTCCCCAGCACTGCCCAGACAACTCCAAGCACCTAGTCAGAAGCAGCTCCTGAGTATCTCCATATATGGCCCACAAACAAACTGCAATCCATTTGTTCCCCTAATATAAACCCTTTCTCACTTCAGAAAGGGGAAAAGAACTCAATTAATTCCCCCAACAAGACTTAAAACATTGAATAAGGGACCAGAGAGATAATACAAAATATAAAGGTTCTTGCCTTGTATACAGCAGACCTGGCTGGATTCCTGGCACCCCATACATTTCCACAATGTATGTTATGACTTATTCCTGAGCACAGAGCCAGGTGTAAGCCCTGAGCATAGCTGGGTGTGGCCCAAAAAACAAACAAAGAACAAAATAAAAAAAATCCAGTTGAATAAGCCTAAGTAGTCACCTAGCAGCTAGCTTCTTAAATTGTGAGTTGTTACCCTATGTGGGGGTCATATAAATTTCTTACAATTTGTTTTAAGGGCAGGGGAGAGAGAGCAACAAGTTTGCTTTCTTGATTAGTATTTGGGAGCCTCAGCTTCAATCACTAGAACTACATGGTCCCCTAAGTATCACTAGGAGTGACCCCTGATCATCAAACTGGCAACAGCCCCTGAGCTCTGTTGGGTATGGCCCAAAATTTCAAACAAGAAAATTTGTTTCACAATAAATTTCTTCACGGTTTATTATCAGCACATGTTGGATTTGTCTATTTTATATATCGATAGTGACATTAAAATTTCAGGAAAAAAGGAGTGGCAAGTGGGTTATAAGAAGACCTGATCTGGCACCACATCCTCTTCTAATTGGGCATTAACAACATCAGTACTCTGCTAAAAATAAGGCACTCTGCTTAGCTTAGGTAATAGTCTTGCATCGCTCCCCTTCAACCACAGGATCTGGCAGATGCACAGAGATTTTTGGAAAAGTTAAGGAAACCACAAGAGTCATATATGAGTCAGCCATCTGCTTTCCTTCCATCAACCATTCACTTTCGTCTCCATTTTGATTTACAACATCCTCATCATCACCCCCACTACACTCAGATACTCTGCGTTTCACGAAGCAGATAGACACCTATAAACTATGGCTCTGGATAAAGAAGGGTTCACAACACAGCTATCCCACCAAGAGTTCCCACTCAAGAGCGTCAAGCCTAGATTTCTGTGATGTTCACTGCCTTTCTCCCACTGGTGATGGCTTAAGTCACCACGCTTCCCTCTCCTCTGGGTCAATTTACCACCTCATGTAGCCCCCTCAGTTCCTCTAAGAGCACTTCTACCCCAACTACTTTTGCCAAGTACACCCTGCTGCCAAGCAGAGCTCCCTATCAACAACAGTGGAGCATTATCATGGTCAAGCCTGGGTGTCTCTACTGCTGCAATTCTCTCTCTCTCTCTCTCTCTCTCTCTCTCTCTCTCTCTCTCTCTCACACACACACACACACACCACTAGGAAGTACTCCTTTACCTACTCAAATTGATGAGTTTGACCTCTTCTACCATGCTACCAGCCCCTGATTTTCTTGTCTTGCCCACACACCTACAGTATCTATCATTTCGACCACACAGTCCACCACATAATCTTTTCTTGTCTAACAAATGGTCTATACATGCTTTCACATATTCCAGCTGGATCTTCCCTGTGAAATGCCTACCTCTTTCTCCAGTCAAAGCCTGGCTTTCTACTATACTAGCCAAGAGACTACCAAAGGGCTCTTAGCCTTCCTGTGCCTTTGCTTCCTCATATGTGCGTGCCTCCTTTGAGTGCACTTCACTTGACTTCGCTCTGCAAATATTATGACTGTGAATTACAAGCTTGTGGCAACCTGGAGTTGAGCAACTCCATCAGAATCACTGTTTTGGTTTTTGGTAGAATTGTGTGTGTGTGTGTGTGTGTGTGTGTGTGTGTGTGTGTTGAGAGCTTAGTCCTGGTTCTGCACTTGGGGATCATTCCTTGGGGAAGGGGAAACTTGGGGAGTTATATGGGGTCCCGGCCCCGGTCCTCCCGTTGTTCATCGATTTGCTCGAGCAGGCCCAGTAACGTCTCCATCATGAGACTTGTTGTTACTGTGTTTGGCATATCGAATACGTCACGGGCAGCTTGCCAGGCTCTGCCATGCGGGCGAGATACTCTCGGTAGCTTGCTGGGCTCTCCGAGAGGGGTGGAGGAATCGAACTCGGGTCGGCCATGTTGGCTGCGTGCAAGGCAAACGCCCTACCGCTGTGCTATCGCTCCAGCCCTATATCTCTCCAGCTGGAGAGATAGAACAGCGGGTAGGGCGTTTGCCTTGCACCCAGCCAATATGGCCGGCCCGAGTTCGATTCCTCCACCCGTCTCGGAGAGTCCGGCAAGCTACCGAGAGTATCTCGCCCTAACGGCAGAGCCTGGCAAGCTGCCCGTGATGTATTCGATATGCCAAACACAGTAACAACAAGTCTCACGATGGAGATGTTACTGGGCCCGCTGGAGCAAATCGATATATGGGGTACTCTGGGATTAAATCCAGATTTGACACATGCAAGCCAAGCACCAAACCTGCTGTACTATCTCATCGGCCTCAGAAGCATTTTTGCAACAGAAGGCACTTGTTCAGTGTCTCTGTGTTGCCTTTTATAAAGAGCTATACATTGTTGTTTGATTTGCAGGGGTGTGAAAGGCACAGGTTGGGCCACACCCAATAGTGATCTTGGGCTACTTCTGGCTCTGTGCACAGAAGTCATCCTTGGTAGTGTATGGGAGACCCTATTTTGTGCCAGAGGTTCAAACCAGAGTCAGCTGCATGCAAGATAAGTGCCTTAATTCTGTGCTATCTCTCTAGACTCTGCATTGCTTTTTCAAACATATATGATTGCACATAACAGATTACAGCCTAATGTAAATGTAACTTCTAAAAGGGAAATCAAACTTCTTACACTGCGAAAGCAAAAATTTCATGTGACTTGTTTTATTGGTGATATTTGCTTCAATTCATTGCCTTGGAACTGAACTGGCATTAATACCCAGGTAATCCCTGTATAAAAAGGGCCTTGTACCAGCTAGATAATACAAAGGTTAAGGCTAGCATATGTCTGTTGCCGCAACAGTGGTTCAAATCCCAGAACCACATATGGTCTCCCAAGCACTGTCAGGGGTAACCCCTGAGTACAGAGCCAGGTGTCACACCCAAAACAAACACAGGAAAAAATAACCTAAAAACAAAAATAGAGCCTTATTTCAATCCATTGTCCTGGAACTGAACCAACAAGAACATAAAGATTTGTTTCCACAAAACAAGACCATTACTTGTTAAGTAATAACAGTACCTACAGGGTAAAGTGTGTATAAAGATTAAATAAAATAGCACATGTAAAAAAAAGAGGAGCTGGAGAAATGGCTCAGAGGACTACAATGCATATGCAGGAGCCCTGGGCTGGATCCCAGCATTGGCTGACTCCCCAGAGACTTCTGGGAGCAACCTCCCTCCCAGTGCAGGGCTGGGAACATCTCTCCCCCAAACACACAAGCACACACTTGGCACACTGCTCGGTATGGCATAAAAAGCATTTTGGATACTGCCAGCAAAGGGTAAACACCATATACATGCAGATTGTTATTAAGACATGCCACCATATGGGTTAGCAACCTACATAGACTAGGCTCTGGTGGTTACCAAAACTAAGAACTAAAGGGTGTGAGTCTAACCTCCTCTTTTGACAGGTAAGGAAACTGCCACACACAAGAGGGAAACATGACAGGGTTCGATTTACCACAGTTGGGAACGATGGGACCCCTAAAACTCCACTGCCTTGACTTTTTCTTTTACACATAACCATGCACAAGTGCATTTATACTAATATTGCTCTCTCTGTCACTCTGATATTAGGGCCACACCTGGCTCATGGCTTACTCCTGGTTCTATGCTCAAAAATTATTCCTTGAGATGCTCAGAAGACCCCATGTGTGCCAGGAATTGAACCTGGGTTGGTGGCATGCAAGACAAGTGCCCTTCACACTCACTGTACTATCTCTCCATTTCTCTATCGATGTTTCTAATGGGGGAGTGGAGTGGAGGGGAGAAATGTTCCTATAGTCTAAGTGAACAAGTAACTGAGCTACCAAGAACCACTGTGACAAAAATGGTTCACTGACGGTTGTCGTTACTATCTGCAATGTAGCTGTTGGTTCGGGTGCATGGCAGTAGCGGGGAGAGCCTATGTGGGGGAGAGGGGGCTGGAGTGCCATATGCCAATCAGAAGGCATGGATGGGTAAGTAAACAAGTAACTGAGCTACCAAGAACTGCTGAAACAAATATGATTCATTCAGGGTTGTCTTTATTGTTTGCAAGATTGGTTCAGGTACTGAGGGACTGGTGGCAGAGGGAAATCATGTGTAGGAGAGAGGGGGCTAGAGTAACCATGAGCCAATCAGAAGTCATGGACCAGTGTGTGACCTAGAAGCAGGCTTCTTAATCTTTTTTTCCACTTGGAACTCCTTTATGTGAGAAATGAAACACGAAACATTGGCAAGGTTGCCAGAAACATCTCAGATTCATTTTGGAGTGGATTTTGAAATGTTCTTGGTTGTTCCCTGCCTAAGTCTGTTACTGTTGCGAATTTTTTTGGAACTCCCTCATTTCACCCCTCTCCCCGCCCCCACGATCAGTTATGCAACTCCACATGGGGTTGTGACCCACAGCTGAAGACACTGGACACAAGTCCCTTCACTGGACTGCTATTTCCCCAGAGGCTCTTCCCCACAGAATAGCAGGCACCTTACCATGGAGACCCATGCTGTACAGGTTGAGGTTGGAAGCAAGTACTAAAAAAGGCAAGCACTTGAGAAATCACTGATGGAAAACGACCAACCTCACACAGGTCAATTCAAATGCCACCTTTTCCCACCCCACAATATTTACCCCTCCCCTCCTTGCCTTCCTGATTCTCTATGGTACTCAGTGCCATCTGACATATATGTTACTGCTCTCCAGGACACACAGTGACTAGCATGAAAGTGTCACTGGGAGAAACACATCTGTTTTGCTCAGCGCTGCATCCTCAGTCAGAAGAACACTCTGGCACAGAGTATACACTGACTGAATCAATAGAGAGAGGCAATCAAGGTTCCCCAGTGAACATTTCAAGACGGTTTGAAACACAGTATTTTGGGCCTATAAGCAAAACTTCAGTGTTTGCTTCAAGGTGACCCCCGAACCCAAAAACTCTGGTGCTACTATCTCCCCTCCACACCCCCACCACTCCCTGAAATATCCAGAAAGCTGTGCAGGGTGGGAGCTCTCAGTGAGGAAGCCCTAAACTGTTCATTGTGGCTCTAGCTGATTAATTCTAAGTTCTCACTACCCTACATGAGAGACATGAGCGATCTCTTTCCAAAAATTTGCCCATTTTTTTTTTGCAAATTAAAAAAAAAAACAATGAGGTGGAAATCTAAAGGTTAATCCGTCCTTCTACTTCGATCTTTAGTTTCCCTTTATATTCGCACCTCCCCCCCCCCCCCCCACATAACCAGCGCTGTTCCAGGCAGAGTCCTCGCTCATTCCCTACTCGCCCAGACTTCTGTGACTATCCCCACTTGTCTCCTAATCCTCTGATTTTTCCTGGGTTCCCAGGCGATACTGGGATATAGACCCTCCACTTTCCGATGCCGCCGCGAGTACGTTTGTTCCCTAGTCCTGGACTCTTCCCTACGGCGCAAAGGAAGTGAGGCAACTAGTAATCGTCCCTCTGGTCTAATGTAGCCCCCGCCGTCCGAGATCCGGGAAAGCCCCGCAACTCCCGGGTCCCCTACCTCGAACCCGCCACGGGACTTGATAACGCCAGGGCTGGGGCGTCCCTCAGAAGAACAGCTCCCAGCACCCATCCCCGCCACGGCCGGCCCGAGACCCAGAGGCGCCCGGACTAGCCGCAACCACTCGACCGCGCCCTCCGCAACCACTCTACCTACTGCCCAGTTGCACCCAAGGGTCGTACTCACCGGGGTACGCGGCACCACCACCAACGCAGAGCAACAGCGCCCACAGCCCGAAAAGTTTACCGGGCCGCTCCATGCAGCCCCTCGCCTCGGAGGCCGGCCGGGCTGGAGCCTCGGCAGTCTCCGCCTCCTCGAACTCCGGCTCCCACTTCCCGGCTCCACCGCCCTGTAGGCTGGGGGCCGGCGCAGACGGGAAGGGCCGCCGCGCCCCGCCCACCGGCCGCAGGTAACCCTAGCGGCTGCAGGGCTCGGGCCAAGGGGAGGGGCGCCCGTGGCTCTCCCCTGACCCGCCGCCTCCCAGAGCCCGCCCCACGACACCTGCACTAGCCACTGTGCCATCCCAGCCCCTCCCCAGTCAAGGCTCCTGCCAAACCGAACTTCCTTGCCCTGCCCTATCGCCAGCCGCCAGCTCCCCGCCCTTGGCACAGCGCTGCCCGCCTGGTCCGCGACGCAACTGGGCCCTGATTTGCGGAGCCTCGAAAGTACCAAGGGCTGTGTCCTACTGGGCATCGGGACAGGGCCATCAACGGAAAGAGCCTTGGCCTAGGATCTGGAACCGCGACTTCCTATGAGTCCTTGTTTCCGAAACTCTGACTCCAGGCTTAGAAATCCAACCCTAACTCACTGGGGAGACTTGAAAAGTCAGAGGGCTTGAAGGGATTCTCTTTTGTGTACAGATAACTTTGAAAGCTAGTAGGTAGTGTTGAGCCTGGGATTAAGCATCAAGTGGAGGAAACTTTTTTCTCATGCCAGGATTGCATGGCACCGCACTTCCAAAAGTAAGAAAGTTCCATACAACATACTTGAGGTTTCGAAAGCACATATGTAGGGTGGGGCATCACTTAGTAGCAAAAGGTATGACTTGCATGAGACCTGGGTTTGATTCCCAACACTGCCGAAAAGCTCAGCAATACACAAAACACAGATGACCGATTTCCTATATATTTATTTTTCTTTCTATTTCTTTTTTTAAAAAAGATTTTATTATTGGATGACTGTGAGATAGACCCTTACAAAGTGGTTTATGGTTTGATTAGGTTTCAGTCATACAGTTTTCCAACACCCATCCCTCCACCAGTGTACATTTCCTAGCACCAGTGTCCCCAGTTTCCACCCCCAAACTGCCTCTATGGCAAGTACTTTTCTTCTCTCTCTCTCTCTCTCTCTCTCTCTCTCTCTCCCTCTCTTTCTCTCTCTCTCTCTCCTCTCTCTCTCTCTCTTCCTCTCTCTCAATCTTCTTTTGGGCATTGTGATTTTTATATCCCTTTACCTACTTTTAACACTCAGTTCTTGTCCAGCATGATCATTTCTTTTTTTTTTCCCCCTTTATTTTATTTTATTTTTTTAAAGTTGTAGATTTACAATTTTTTGTGCTTTGGTTTCAATTATACAATGATCAGATACCCATCCCTCCACCAGTGCCCATTTTCCACCACCATGGATAATATCCCTCCCACCCCCATCCCCCCATCCCCCCTGTCTCTGTGGCAGGGCAATCCCCTGTGTTCTCTCTCTCCTTTTGGGTGTTGTGGTCTGCAAAAGAGGCATTGAGTGGCAAACATGTTCAGTCCATACTCTACTTTCGACACAGCATGATCATTTCTAGCCATTATTGTCATCCTGGTCCCTTCTCTTACCTACACTCTGCCTCCCCACACACACACTTGTGGTTAGTTCCAACCGTTAAACAGTACTTCCAGGTCTTGTTTTCCCTGGCCATGGATATGTCTTCATCTATATTTATATATATTCATATATATATACCAAAAATGAATGCAGTCATTCTATATCTGTCCCTCTCCGACTCATTTCACTCAGAATGGTAGTCTCCATGCCCATTCACTTATAGGCAAATTTCATTATTTCATTTTTCCTAACAGTTGACTACTATTCTATTGCGTAGATGTGCCATAGTTTCTTTATCTATGCATCTGTTCTCAGGCAGTCAGGTTATTTCCAGATTATGGCTATTGTGAATAGTGCTGCAATGAGCATATGAGTGCAGATGACATTTATACTGTGTTTTGGGGCACACAGGGTATAGTCCCCAAAGTGGTATTGCTGGGTCAAATGGGAGCTCATTGTCCTTTTTCTTTGTATAAAGGATAGAGGATGAGTCTAAAGGGGCCACACTGAATCCAGAAAAGTGGATTACTGTGAGAGACAATAAAGCTGGAAATGGGGGATAAAGGGAATCTATTGTTTTGGCTGCTGAAAACAATTCTTTTAAATTTAGTAAATAAAAAGAACAAGATTTTAATACGTTTAAGCAGGTTCAAAGTCTCACTGACCTAAAATTGGGGAGTGGGCAGAGCTGTGTCCCTGCAGATTTCCTTGCTTTTCCCAGCTTCTAGACCCTGCTTATATAACTTGGTTTGTGGTTGCACCACTTAGATCTCTGCTTTCCTTGTAACATCACCTTCTGTGACTTTGTCCTTTTTAACTTGTAAAGACCCTTGGGATGAAATTGGACCTAATAGATAAACCATGATAATCTCGCCATCTCAACTTTTTTTTGTTTAACCATATCTACAAAGTCACTTTTTCAGGTTGTTTCTTCATGTTCAGAGACTCCTTGTGACTGGGGGACTTGTGGGGTAGCTCCCAGCAATACTCAAGGAACCGTGAGGTTTGGGGCATCAAAGTTCTCCCACAATCAAAACCTGTTCACTAGGACTTTGAGCCATCTTTCTTGTTTTCTTCAAAGGCCCTTTTGCTAAATAATGTCACATATAACAGATATCTAGGATTAAGTCATAGACATGATTGAAAGGGGACATGACCCTGTCATCCCTCAAAAATAGTCCTATTTGGATGGATGAGGAGACCCACTCACTGAAGTGTAGAATTTTTTGGAAGTGCATTTTGATTCAAGTAAGCCAACATGCTACACAATTAAAATCATATGCAAAAAAACAGAGCTATTAGAATGTTGATTATACCCCTATCTAGAGCTAAGGGCATGGGGATGTTTAATCATTCAAAACAAAGGCTCTACATTTGGAAATAAGGCTGTTACAATCAATAAATACTTGTTGTCTTTCCAGGAACTGTGGGAGACACACATTTAAAGCAGGTCCTGAGACAGGAGACAGCTCTAGTGATAGAACACAGGCCTAGCATGATTATGACCCTAATTTCCAACCACAGCACCATATCGTCCCCACCCCCAGCACTGCAGAGTTTGTCTCTGGTGTTCCTCCAAGCACTGAGTCATCAGGCCCACACTTCTGGACAGAGTATCACTAAGAATGGTCTTAGTTAGCTGTCTTTTGGTTTTGGCCTGTGTTTCTTTGACCACGTAGAACCTCTTCAAATTGATGTAGTCCTACTTGTTTATGTTTTATCCTGTTGCCTTTGCCAGTAGAATCATATAATTGAAGACCCCTTTGAGGTCCAAATATTGGAGGTATCTGCCTTATTTTCTTCAGTGTACTTTAAGGTTTCCAGTCAAGTCTCAAAGGTCTTTAATCACCTTTGAATTTACTTCTGTGTAGTGTGTGGGCTATGGATCCAGCTATAAGTTTTACATGTGTGTATCAGTTTTCCCAGCACCATTTGTTGGAGGCTATCCTTACTCTATTTCATGTTCTCATCTCCTTTGTACAAAATTAACTATCCATATATTTGGGAATCTCTCCTTTAATATTAAATTCTGATGAATTTTTTCAGAGAACCTGTCTTTATTTCATGCTGTTTTGAGCACTGTAGCTTTATAATAGAGTTTCAAGTAACCAAGTATTGAGATACCTGCCATTTTCTTATTTTGGGGAAACTGTTAATGGGACTGGTGCTAGACCATTATGTATCTAAAATTTAGCTATCAATAAGTTTGAAAATAACAATTATTTAATAAAATTTAGAAAATAAATCAAATCCTGCCAATGAATGGATGCAGTCTATATGAGAGGCCACCATGAGAGCTGGAATAATGACTTGTGGGATTCAGAGAATGAATACCTTATGGGGAGAGGTGGAAAATAATTTTCTGGGAGGCTTATTTGCCTGTGCTGAATGTGGAACTAGTGAATTTTGGAGTTGCAAGTTCATAAAAGAAGACACAGAGAGAACTCAATGGTTTGAGCATATGCTTTCCTTGCAGGAAGTTTGGGTTTGATCCTGGTACCACATGGTCCCACAAGTAGTGCCAAGAACAATTCTCTTTTCTTAAAATTTTTATTAGTGAAGAGTTGTGGAAATTACAAGTTTTTGTGCTTGGGTTTCAGCTATACAATGATCGAGTACCCATCCCTCCACCAGTGCCCATTCTCCACCACCAATGATCCCAGTATCCCTCCCACCCCCCACCCCTCCCATATGATCCCGCCTCTGTGGCAGGGCATTCCCTTTTGAAAAACAATTCTCATTCACTGAATCAAGGGTAGTTCCTGAGCACCATCAGATATGGCACATAAATTTAAAAAATTAAAGGAAAGAAAAGAAAAGAGAAAAAAATCTGGGGCTGGAGCAGGAAAGGTGCTTGCCTTGCACACAGTTGACCCAGGTTTAATTCCCAGTACTGCAAATATTCAATCCATTGAGCCCCATCAGGAGGGATATCTGAGGAAAGAGCCAGAAATAAGCCTTGATTACTGCAAAATGTGTCCCACAATCAAAAGGGAAAAAATGTTCAGAATTATTTCTTGCCATCATATATTCCTCTTTAAAATATTTATGGTAAAGGCCCTCCCGTTGATCGTCGATTTGCTCGAGCGGGCCCAGTAACGTCTCCATTGGAGACTTTGTTGTTACTGTGTCTGGCATATCCAATACTCTCGGTCGCTTGCCGGGCTCTCCGAGAGGGGCGGAGGAATCGAACTCGGGTCGGCCATGTTGGCCGCTTGTAAGGCGAACGCCCTACCCGCTGTGCTATCGCTCATTTTATAATTTTATAATATCGCAAAATATTTATGAAGAGCTACAAACTCTCAAAGTCTGTAGAACTGAAAGATACTCATCACTGTTTTCAAATCCCCCAGCTGGAGCTAGAGAGATAGTACAATGGATAGGGTGCTTGCCTTGCACACAGCTGACCTAGGTTCAATCTCCAGCTTCCCATATGGTCACTCAAGCACCACAAGGAGAAATTCCTGAGTGCAGAGCCAGGAGCAACTCCTGGGCATTTCTGGTTGTAACCCAAAAAATAAAACAAAAACAGTTTCTTTAAAAAACCTGC